AATTCTCTGTCTTCTCATCATTTAACATAGTATTGTATATACACACATGTTAGATTATCAGTAAATACTTGATAATAGTATCAGATAGATTTAGTGGTAGATTAGAATAAAGCCTGAAATGCCTGTCCCTTCTTCCAGATGCCAGCCTCATTTGGAAATATCTGAACTTGTTTCTCTGCTTCTATTTAGCAGCATCTTTTAAACTGAAACTAAATCACACATGTCAAAATGTGTGGATTTTCTGCATCTCTGATTCTGTAATTTTCTTGTCCAGTGAATAATAAAAGTATTTTCACACTTTTGGTTAGTTATGGATATCCTTACTTACATTCCTATTTGTATTTGATTCTCTTTCTCCTCACCCTACTCAAACTTTACTGTAAACATTGCCTGTCCTATACAGTGGAAGAACTTCCTTAATGTACAGAACCACAATACTGATGTTGAATATTTTTCAATATTTGAATAGTTAAGAACATTTCTCATTTAATATATTTACAACTTGGGACACTGAAACTCCCACTCAGCTACAAGAAGTGCCATTTATTTTTCCATTTATTGCACAAAACTATGCACAATACTAACCCAAATATATACCATCCTCATAAACACAGAGGCAACTCATTTTAGCATAATTTCCTATGCTGCCTAGAAAATCCTTACTTTCAATTTGAGTCGGTATAGCTTAAGAAATACTCTTCTAAATATTTCATTTAAAATCTAGACACTTTAAAAATTTTAAAAATCTAGACACTTATTCTTTCTTTTATTGCTCGAGTTTTTATATATATATATATACATATATATATATTTTAAAAGATTTTAAAGATTTATTCATTTATTTGAAAAAGAGAGAGCATGGAGGGAAGGGGCAGAGGGAGAGGGAGAGAGGGAATCTCAAGCAGACTCCCTACTGAGCTCGGAGCCTCACCTGGGGCTTGATCCCACAACCCTGAGATCATGACCTGAGCCAAAATCAAGAGTCAGATGCTTAACCGACTGAGCCACCCAGGTGCCCCGCTCAGGTTTATATTTTTAAATATATGTTTAAGAAGCATTACTGAAGGGGTGCCCGGGTGGCTCAGTCATTAAGCGTCTGCCTTCAGCTCAGGTCATGATCCCAGGGTCCTGCGATAGAGCCCCGTATCAGGCTCCCTGCTCCGCGGGAAGCCTGCTTCTCCCTCTCCCACTCCCCCTGCTTGTGTTCCCTCTCTCGCTGTGTCTCTCTCTGTCAAATAAATAAATAAAATCTTAAAAAAACAAAAAAAAGAAGCATTATTGAAAAGATCAAAGCATTTGGTACATAAACAAAACTAGTCTCTAATATTTTTTAGGAATCAGATATCTGTACACTAGAAATAGAAATATTGAGTCAAAATGTTATAAATCACAAATTTGTATCATAAGATCACCAAATATGGCATTAACATTCATATCTCCTTACTGTGTATAATCCATAAAACTGAAAAATAAACCATAATTTTCATTAATTTCAAATAAGGAACATACTCAGAAGATTTATAATTAGGGGGCATATTTACATCTAGTCTTATTTTTTAAAGTATTTATTGAGCATTTACTACGCGCCAAGCATTATTCAGTAGAGGATGAGTATTTTCTTAGCAAAAGATACCAACAATTCAGATCCATTTTAAAGAGAATACTTTAGTGGAAAAATGTAATCAATAATTTGTCTCTCAACCTCAGAACAATTAAGTTGTCTCTGTTTCCAAATACCCACTTGGAGAGTTTCCAACTTTCCTACATTTCTATTGTATTATGAATAATGTTTCTAGCTCACTAATTTTGCTGCTAATCAAACACTGAAAAGAGATTCTTTATACTTTCAGATATGCTTTGAAAAAAAAAAGCCCTCCCAACATATGCACAAGGGAATTATAAGTTCATTAGTATACAGTTTTTCAAATCTTAGATTCATGGCTCATTATATTACCTTAGAAATAAAAATATATTTTTACACTTATATGACAGCAAAAAGAATTAGAATTAACATCTGATTATGAGTTTTAATTTTTGAAATTAATCTACAGGCATCTCTAATTTAAATATTTCAAATGAAAAAAATGAAAATGATATTTCAAATATTTAAACAAACAATACTTAAAACTTAAATTAGATCCATTTAGCGTTATGCTTTCCAAAAACATGCAGCATTTCCTGATTTTAAAAGAATTTCTATATTTTATAGTATAGATTCTATAGCAGACAAACCTAAAAATATATGCAGACCTTGAAATTTTAGAAACTTTTGCCATGGTTCTTATCCAATTCAATCTTTTATTCAGTTAAAGTTTGTGGCTACATATTTCAATGGGAAAACAGATTATCTGTAATCCAGTGATATGACATAATATTCTAAATCACAGAATCACATATCACATCAGTCCTGGCCATAGATGAATGCCTCATGTTGTTTTTATAGGTCACTAAAGCCTAAATTACCTTGAGACCAATCCAGGAAATTCTGCTAATTCCAAAGCCTTCTAGAAAGCTTTACCTAATTTGGAAAGGCGTTCACCAATTTCTACAAAGTTGTTCATGATATGATATAATAATATGATATGATATGATATGATATGATATGATATAATATAATATAATATATATCCAGGTTGTATGTGAGAAGAAATACTAACCCAGCTCATCCTCCTAGGAATACAAATTGGCATTATGTCTAGCCATAAGTGGATATTAAGCATGAGGACTATCCATTGAACAGTATTTGTGTATATAAACAAATTCTTTGCTTATAAAGTTTATAAAGGTAATAAATTTCAACAAGATACCTGTCTCTCAGTTCCTGTGATACTCTACACAATTGCAAATAATATGAAGTGTAGCTGTGCATTGGTATAGGATACCCTGAGGTATTTTGGACTAAACTGAGAATTAGAGGGGATATTTTTTATTTCGTTCTTCTTTTTCTTTTTAAGATTTTATTTATTTATTTGACAGAGAGAGAGAGACAGCGAGAGAGGGAACACGAGCAAAGAGAGTGGGAGAGGGAGAAGCAGGCTTCCCGCAGAGCAGGGAGCCCAATGGGGGGCTCGATCCCAGGACCCTGGGATCATGACCTGAGCCAAAGGCAGATGCTTAACGAGTGAGCCACCCAGGCGCCCCTCATTTCATTTTTTATCCTGACTCCATTATTCCTTTAGTGCCTAGCTCATTATTTTTTTTTCTTGAACATCTTTTCTCATCTTAAAAAGATAAATTCACACATTTATTTTAGTGACATTTAAATATGTAAGAAAATGCTCTGCTGTTTAATACCAGTCAAAATATGAAGAATCATGTCCAGGATAAGAGACTAAAAAGAGAAAAATACATATAAACATATATATGCACAATAGAATTGTTAAGGGAAATTGGTATAAACAAAAATTGTTCCAGGATACCAAAGGTTATGCTTGCAAAAACTATACATCTCTTTATTCAAGGTATGATAAAACAGCCCAGGATGATCATCAAAGTTGTACGATCAAGAACTGACTACCAAGAAGATACGACAGTCTATGGGGCACCTGGGTGGCTCAGTTGGTTAAGCGACTGACTCTTGGTTTCAGCTCAGATCATGATCTCAGCATGGTGAGATGGAGCCCCACATTGGGCTCTGTGCTCAGCACAGAGTCTGCTTGAGATCGTCTCCCTCTCCTTTTGCCCCTCTCCTCACTTGCATACTCTCTCTCTCTCTCAAATAAATAAATAAGATCTTTTTAAAAAGAAGATATGATAGTCCAATTATTGTTATTATGACATTACATGAAAGTATTTGACAAAACTGCAAAAGGAAATACTTATTGACATTTTTTATAACTATTTTGTCTTTCTGTTTAAAACAAACAAAAAAGAAACAAACAAAAAAACCTCTTTTGAGTACTAGAGAAAGCTGCTGAAAATATTGGATGCCAGTAAGATTTTTTTCATGATTTTGTCAAATCTTTCCCTGTTCTACTCTGTCCTGGGAACTGCTGCTAAATTCATAAGTCTAAAACATAGCCTAATCAAGTAATTTCCTTGCTAAGTTACCTTTGGGTAATTTTTAAAAAAATCCTCTTCACCCATTCAGTGTGATTATAAACCAAATCCGTATGTACCCGTCTAACATTGCAGCTTCTCCCCTGCTGCTGTCCGTCTGAGCATGTCACACCCTCATTTAGAATGTCTGTCTTGTTCTTCTACGCCTGGCTCATTCCAAGTCTTTCCTTCCTATCAGTTCCTGATACCAAAGTGGTTTGCAACTTTCTTGAATCACTCAGGCAGGTCCAAATTTCTCCCTTGCCTGAATTACTGCAATAATTGGAAATTATACCTTGAAGGACTGCATGTGATGATACAGGTAACACCTGGTAAATTAATGTGTTCCAAAAATTCATTTAAAGTTACTCACGAGAAGTTGAAAATTAAAACAAAAAAATTATTGAAGTATAACTGACACTAGAAGTTGAAAATCACTTGCCCACAGATTTATTAAATATAATTAATATTCCATGCTATATTTTAGATAATAAAAATGTAGCTGAAATATATTACTAACAAAAATATAACTTTCAGAAATTTCTGTGAAAAGATGTATACCATACTCCAGCTCAAAAGCTGAAAGTCAATAATATGAGGTATCTTAAAAAAGTCAAATTCATAGAATTGGAGTGGAATGGTGGTTGTCAGGGACTGGGGGAGGAGGAAATGGGGAAGTAGTAATCAATAGGCATAAAGTTTCAGTTAATCAAGATTAATAAGTTCTAGGGATGGTCAACGATACTGTATTGTATCATTAACATTTAACAATTTGTTGAGAGACTAGATCTCAGGTTAAGTGTTCTTACCACAGCAAAAAAAAAAAAAAAAAAAAGTCAAACATGTATCGCTTCATCATCTATTCTTTGTACCTCCCTAACAAACTGCAGCCCCAGATATTCAGTAGGTATTTTTTTTTCTGGTTATTCATTGCTTCAAAAATAAACACCCCGAAACTTACTGGCTTGAAACAACTATTTTATTTGCTTACAAGTTTGCAGTCTGAGCTGGGCTCAGCTTCTGATTCTTCTGCTGGCCACACTTGTGGGTAAATTCAGCTCTCACATCAGCTGTGGGTAATGAGGAAGTGGAAAGGACTAGGCATCTCCATCTTTCCACGTAGTCTCAGGGCTTCTCACTCTTCTTGGTGCTTCTTCATGTGGTCTTTCTAGAGGCATGACTGAATTTCTTGTCTGGCTCCTATGAGTGCAAAAGTGGAAGCTGCCAGACATTTTAAGGCTTAGGTCTGGAACTGGCACAGTGTCATATTAGCCATATTCTTTTGGTTAAGCACATCATTGCTTCCCAGATTCAAGGAAAGGGGATTGCACAAGAGGACGAATACCAGGAGACTGACTCATCAGGGGCCGCCAATGGAACAGACTACCACATGGCTTAATCACTACTTATTGAGTTGGCTGCTACTAATATAGAACACAATATTCTAGTCTCGATAGGGTAAAATGAATTTAACATGTTAGTAACATGCAAAATTCAAGTATATGTGAATTAAATGCTTTAGTATGTACAGAATGTGACTTGGTTATTCTTTTAACAAAGTTCTACTTCACTACAACTTAGGCTGTAATTCCTATCAATGGGAGTTAAATTGAAAAGTTTTATTCCTGGCTTATAATGTTGAATACATTAGCAAAATACTAAGCTCTCTAAAAATAATGTATCACATAGTGTGAATAAACTTGCAAAGTACTGACTTTTTTCCCCTACCCATGTATTTGGTTTACAGTTGGAGGTGAGTAGGGGGTTGGGATAACTGGGTGACGGACATTAAGGAGGGCACATGATACGATGAGAACTGGGTGCTATATGCAACTGATGAATTATTTAACACATCTGAAACTAATGATGTACTATATGTTGGCTAATTGAATTTAAATAAAAAAAATAAAGTTGGCTTCAATTTTGGGGGCACTGGGTGGCTCAGTCGGTTAAGCTCTGACTCTTGATTTCTGCTCAAGTCATGATTTCAGGGTCGTGAGATTGAGCCCAGCGTGGAGCCTGCTTAAGATTCTCTCTCTCCCTCTCCTTTTGTCCCTCCTCCTGCCACACTTGCACACTCTTTCTAAAAATAAAATAAAATAAAATAAAATTGGCTTCAATTTCAAATTTGGAGTGTGCTGAGAAACTAATTTGTTAGCATCACATAGGAAAAAGCAACTCACTAGAGTATCCCAAATAATAAGCCTGCCAGGTTAATATTTAAAGATGCTACAATTATTTGTAATGTTTTAACCACAATGAAAATATTAGTCCTAACCGCTTATAATGAAAAACTTTAAAGTGGGAACTTGAACCCCCCCTCTTTAAATGCCATTCTCTCCATATTTTTATGGGGGGAAAAGTATGCTAGTTAGCATCTTTTGATTGTAAAAATCAGATACTTATTTAAGTAATCTAAATGATATTTGGTAGTCAGTATGAAGATACAAAATATAAAGATGGAAAACAAGAATCTCAAGGAACCCAGAGCTCGTCCTATAGAGGTACCAAGATGATTTAAGATGCAAGACAATTCTAGAAAGGAGATCTTATCACCTTCAGTCCCAGAAAGTTGTCAGTTAACCAGTATTTCCTTTCCAAGCTGGCTTTTATTACTTGCAAATTTTGAACCTTACTCTCTATGTTTTCGATCCCTTGGTTTCTGCTGACTCATACGTGTGGCAATTATTTTCACCCAAGATGTTCAGTGACATTTGAGATAGGGCATTCCTTAATTGTGCAAGACTCTTTAGCACATTGCACAATATTGATTGGGCCACAGACACTAAATGCCCATAGCACACACTGGTTATTGTGACAACCAAAGTACCCCACTACTTTGGCAAGCTCCCCTAGAGGGCGATATCTCTCCTCCCCACACTCAAGGAACAACTAACTACATAGGGCAATATGAGCTTTCTGCCTCCTCTCTGGCTAACAAATGGCTAGCTGTCATAATATGGAACAGGTAGGTCTTGTTCCACACATATCAGTTGCAATTCATATCACATTTCTTTGAATAAAAATAAAGAGACCAAAGCCTTAATACATAATCTAACAATAGTGCTTCTATGTATTTACAAAAATGACTTGAAAACTATGCTCATACAAAAATCTGCACATGGAAGATATGAAAAGATGCTTGATTTCATTAGTTGTTAAAAAATGCAAGTCAAAACCCTGATAAGATACCATTTCATATCCATTAGATGGCTATAATTTAAAAAATGGACAATTAAAAGTATTGGTGAGGATGCAGAGAAACAGAACTTTCATACGTTGCTGGTAGGAATTTAAAATGGCACAAGTGTTTTGGAAAAGAGTTTGGAAGTTCCTCAAAGAATCAAACATAGAGCTATCATATGATCCAGAAATTCCACTACTAGGTATATACATACCCAAAATAGATGAAAACATTTATTCATACAAAAATTGCACATAAATGTTTATAGCAATACTATTCTTAATAGCTAAAAAGTGGAAATAACCCAAATGTCCCTTACATGACAAAGGCATAAATGAAGTGTGATATACCCATATAATGGAATATTATTCAGACATAAAGAGGAATTCATACATGCTACAACATGGATGTATTTTGAAAACATTATAAGTTAAAGAAGTCAGACACAAGAGGTAACATGTATGACTCCATTTATATGAAATGTCCAGATAGGCAAAGACATAGAGACAGAACGTAGATTAGTGGTTGCCAGGGGCTGAGAGCAAGAGAGAATAGGGAATAAGTGTTAATGGGTACAGGGTTTCATCTTGGGATGCTGAAATTATTCTGGAATTAGACAGTGGTAGTGGTTGTTCAACATGTGATTGTACTTAAAAATACTTAAATATATATATTTTAAAGGATACATTTTATGGTATGGTATGTTTAAAGGATACATTTTATGGTATTTATAGCTAAAGGAACAACTAAAATCAGATACTTATTTAAGTAAGTATTTAGATAAAGCCAAGATAAAGCCAAGAAGCAATTTTGCACATGAATGTTTATACAAACTTCATAATCACCAAAGCTGGAAGCAACCAAGATGTCTTTCAGTAGGTGAAAGGTTAAACAAGCTGTGGTGTATGTATGTAACAGAATACTGTTCCGTGATAAAAATAAGTGAGCTACAAGCCATGCAAAAATATGTATGAATCTTACATGCATATTACTAAGTGAAAGATGTCAGTCTGAAAAGGCTACATACTGTATGATTCCATTTATATGACATTCTGGTAAAGGCAAAACTATAGAGTAGGTAAAAAGGCCAGCAGTTACCAAGGGTTCCAGAAGAGGAAAAGTTTCAATAGACAAAATACAGGAGATATTTTAGGGCACTTAAAATTCTGTATACTAATAGTGGGTACATGACATAATGCATTTGTCAAAACGCATAGAACTTTATAGCATAAATAGTAAACCTTAATATATGCAAGTTAAAAAGACATTATTTAGGAAATCAAGGGATATCAGGAGGGAATGTAAATGATGACAAAAGAATTTAACCGTATTACAAATACATGAAATAACCACACTGACGGGAGTAGGGGAACAGATGCTGGCCAAAGCAAAATTGGAAATTAGTAGTCTGTAAATCTAAAGGCAAAAGTAACTATACTAAGCATTTTGCAGTATAGTTGGTAAAGCTGCTTGCCATAGGGTCTTGGGTAACAATTCTGGTAGTGTCATACATACACACTGAAACTGAGTAAGTAAGCAAGGATGATGAGAGCCAGGTTTCTTTTGGAATAGAAGGTTACAGAAAAAAGCAAGGGGAGAGGGTTAGAATGATCAATGTTGTAATGGATTAGAGATAGAAACATTAGTAGGAACTCATATTTAGTTTGATATAGTCACAGATAGAAACATTAGTAGGAACTCATATTTAGTTTGATATAGTCACAGATGAATACATATAAAATATTTATAGACATTTACATATGCAAGGGTTAGTATACACATATATATTTTCTTGCTCTATCTGCTGAAAAGACCTAGTAATAATGATACTCCACTAGCAATAAGCACACCTGGTGTACCCATCTTGGTCTCTAATACCATGCTCCAATAAAACGAACTGGAGATCCATGGAGAAATTATTGCTTCCAGAATTGGTGCAGGGAATATATGAGTTTGGAACATCTTGTAGTGCCAGAAAGAACATACTAAACACATTCACACACACTGTTATGAACTGAAAGTTGTGTCTCCCCAAAATTCATATATTGAATCCCTAATCCTCAATGTGATAGTATTTGCAGATGGATCCTCTGAGAGATAATTAGGTTTAAATGATGGTGGGGCCCCCAAGATGGGATTCGTATTTTACAAGGAAAGGAAAAGAGAGGAGCTTATGAGTGCTCCCTTCCTCTCTGTCCCAATCTCTCTCTCTCTCTCTGTCTCTTAATCTCTTTCTCTCTCTCTCCACCATGTAAAGATATAAGAAGACTGGAAAACAGCTCTTTAGAAACACAATGACAGGGCTTCCAGGAACCAGATGAAGGGAAGGAGGAAATGATATTCACAGCTAATGAGTCACCTTCCCCCAGTGGCAGATAAAATGTTTCTTCAAAGCAACAACCAACTGAGAAATGAACAAATAACAACAATCCCCTGTCCCACCACCACCATTTCTAAAAATACATAATTACATTTTATTTGGAACATCGGAATCTCTAAGTAAAATTCTAAGGTTGAGAATATGATTGGATCACATATTATTACAGGGGAATTTTGGCTCCACGATCCCAAATAAACACTGGACAATCAGGTATTACAAGATAACATAGTTGCATGGTGCTGAATATGACTACCTTACACAGAAGTAACCAGCCATGAAGACTTAGTCAGCAGGTAATAGAATAATATTTTGATAAACTGGTATGTAGTTTTTTTCCTTTCCTCATTTTTTTTTTTTTTGCCTTTCCTGTATTCATTTGGTGTGATTATAGCCTCAGACAAGGGTTAGTAAACAGAATATGAGTAAAAAGAATTAAATTTTAGCTTTTTCATTTCAAAAGCTAATGTCCAGGAACAAGGTTATGCTACATCATAAGATTTGGGAGAAAATGTGATATGTCAATTTCTATATTGCTCATCCTTCTCATCAGGGATGAAAAATTAGTCACTTTCAGGTTTCTAAGAACCTGATCCCTACCTGTTTTACAACTCCTCACCCTCATCCCAGCCCTGCCAAATTCCTAGTGTGGCCAGAGTT